CAAATGAGCTCGAGGGGCTGTGGCTCTTACATACGAGTTGGAGTAATAAGAGTGTAGCAAAACCAGTGAGAATTTGGCGAAGTGAGAATTGGAAATTGTGATTAATACGTGTGGTTGTATGTGTTTGCCCTCATAATAGGGGGAATAATGGCTTGTGAGTAGATTATCGATCGACAACTGTCTGTGATCTCGGCGAGCCGCTCCAATTCGGCAAAGCAGCAGTGCATCACTTCAATGAAGCACTTCTTACAGAGGCTCTCTAGGTAGGGGGTGTGAGGGGTAGAGGTTGTAGGCAGTTGTATGCAGGCAATATGATATTCATGTTGATACTGGCAGCTGGAAGAAACGCCTTGAAACAGAGGGGGAGGGCGCTGCACCTACTTGGAATTGGTAGGGGATATTGTTTTATTACGCAAAGAGTTTATTCGAGTTCTACTCGTTTTACGTGGAAAAAAGGCTTTCTGCGAAGTGAATTGTGAAATATGTTTTTCCCGAATGTTTTTCATATCGCGGGTGAAACTCCAGAGGCTCATGAGGAACTGGGTTGCGGTAGACGAAGTTCATTGAATTGTTCCATGGGGAGTATTCAATGGTGTGGTATGATGCAGGTGCGATCAGCTTTTGGTATTCCGTCCGCTGGACTCTCGAGGGTCTAAGGTGTTGCCGACCCCGATGTCCTCAGCTATGGACACTGATAATTGCGAGGTAGCATTTCATACCATCTTTCCGCCAAATCGTGTTTGAAGTAGGTCCGTATAACGCATGTAATGCTGTGTACCAACTATGTTGGCCTCATTGTTGGCGATGTTCAAGTAGATGGTGAGGAGAGTCGGGAGAGGCTTGCGGCTGGTAAGGCTGCTAGTCGTGCTCTTCATTCGCTGCCTCTCTGAGAAAGTCCCCCCATAGAAAATTCTTAGGATTTGCTTTATTTTTTAGGTGTTATTGTGTGTGGTCGGTCTGGAGGTCTGCCAGGGCAGTCGCCGGTGGGGACGTACAGAGCGATAGACGTGGTTAGAGCGGCACTACGCAGAAACAAGGATGTTCTGGACAGCGACTGGACGATGCAGGGCGTGAAGGAGCTGAGGGACGTAATGCAGTAGAATGTTGTATTATCATTGTGATGATCATCTACTGTTCCAGCTGGACGTTACACCGCAGTCTAGTCTAACGAATGTGGATCATAAACATGAGGATGTCTACGTCCAAGAGCTGAGCAAACCGATGATCATAGCGGCGCCTCGAGAGACCATCACGGTTAAGCAGAGAGCTCCTCAACCTCGCTCGGGGGTAGGGGTTGGATCAGCGCTTGTTGGTGTTGTTAGTTGGAAGGCTTCATATTTTCAGTCGACGAGTGGGTTAGTAGTGCCACCGTGGAGAAGGGGGACTAGCGCGACAGATGACCAGCAGCAGCTGCCTTGGGCTGGTGGTGTGGCGGCAGGTCTACACAGGCAACAGAGTGGTAGGGAGATGCTGACTATGTCGAATGCCTTATTACGTACTGGGGAGAAGAGGGAGTACACCGACTTCCAGACGTGCTTGGATAAGGAAGGTACCAGGGACACATCTAGAATTGAGAGAAAACGTCCTCTAGGGTTTGATAACAACTGATGTGATGACATTTGCTGATTGGGGAATGTGCTCCTAGAACATTAGAGATGAGTTTCCCCCCCTGGGCACATTATAGGTCTGTGGATGATTTCCTGGTGTGGTTTGCTTGCAGGCATCATGGGTGGTTGCATGCTTAGGTCGTAGTTATGGTATTCTGGAAATGCTGAGAGTTCGTCGAGGCGCTGCGAGTGAGGAACCACCTAAGGAGCTTAAAACACTTCGAGTGGTGAAGAGCGAGGCGGTTGGGGAGAAGAAGAAGCGAGATGGTGAAGCTGAAGGGAATAACGTAGGAGGACGATTTTCTATGGGAACTGAGGGAACTACTGAGGTAATTATCGGTTGAGTTTGTGATGCTGTTTCTGACGGGGTTCTGTTATAGAGTGTATCTTCACCTTCGAGACCTCGTGTTGTGGAGCCAGCAAGGGAAGCGCCGTGGCGATCGGTAGCTGTGCCGCCGAGTAAGGAGGCAGCAGGGTTTTGGTGATTTGCTGGAGGAGTGGTATGAGGCATCATTATTTGGCGTCGTAATATTTCTTCCGGCCTTATTGCTGAGCAGCTGTGGTTGACCACTATTACGAAGATCTCTATTGCTGCCGCCTCCGCCGCTGTCGCCTATCGATACATCATCACCGTACCAGTTATCGGAAAGGTCAGTTTCTATTCCCAATCTCTTTCCATTTATAACAGTCAGCCTGTGACTTGAGTTCAGTGAGGTGACTATAGTGTGGCTATCACAGTTGTCGTTGTGAGCCTCTATGGAGAGGAGGAGGAGGAAAGTGCATCGTTGGTGTTGGAGAGGATTAGTAGTACTCATTGTTGGAGTGTATGAGCTGATGGACAGTATAGGTCTCTTTATAGCCCCAGGTTTGTCTAGGGCAACTCGTTTGAGAGGTCAGCACGGCAGGCAAGAGGTCGCGGGTTCGATCCCTGGTTGGTATACTTTTGGAGTACGTACTACATTCGCAGTATTGACGTTGATCCCTTCCCTTATGCTTGTTGCTGGCTTGTCAAGGGCGGTGAAGAGAGCTCAGCAGCGATGTCTCGTTGCTGCCGCTCGCCATGCGTCCTCTGCTCTCTCGCGAGGCGGACTGAAATCGCTGGTTACTAGTACAGCCGGTCTGGGTCGGTCAGCGAGACGGTTTCGCTCGGGTAAAAACGTCCCAATCGCGTTGACAGTAGGGGATCACATGCACGGTTT